TTTCATTCTTCAGCTAATTTTATTAGAGTGGTTAGAGGTTGAGTTGGTTGAGACATGTAACGTACACCGGAAGACATATTCAGAATTATAGTTGGAGAAACTGAAGGAAAGAGAGCACTTAGGAGACACAGAGATAGATGACAGTATATTATTAAAATAGATCATATATATGGTGTCAGAATATGGACTAGGTTCATCTTACTCATAATAAAATCTAGTGGTTGGGTTTTAGGATAAAGCAATGAACCTGCGATTTACGTAATCGGAGGGGAATTTCTTGATGGAACGAGCAACTTGTGACTTCTAAAAGTAATTTCCTTATGGACTTCGATACTTAATTGTATTTACTAATGCTTTTTTTTTATATTCAGAATAATTCGGAGAGCAAAATAAATTACTTGCAAAGAAAAAGTATTTAAGAAACAGGTGGGTCATGATTTATTTGATGGTTATAAATGTTAGCGCTTAAAACACGTGATTATGTTTACCAACCAAGGACCATAATAAACTTACATGCTTAATTCATGTGGAAACTTTTAAACGGATCAGGTCAAAATCCTCTCGGTGATCGAGAGCTGGTCCTTTACTTCCGAGTGGGCTGATATTGCTACAAAGCACGCACCAACATTATATAGTCGTGTCTAACTTATGTGAAGTGTCCAATATTTCTCAATCCGTATGTAGGCAGCTCAAGAGGTACAAGATATCTTCAGCTGAGAAAGAAGTAAACTCTTTAAACTGTCCTCAAGTTTCCACGTAGTTACGCAATGTGTCACAATTTAAATAAAATCATCAACGTATGTTTCGAAATGCAGACGGTCGCCTATCACAAGAAGGAAAACCAGTGAAGGCAAACACGTTCTTAATTCTAGTACCTTCACGTATAAGTATGATGATTAACGATTGTTAAACGCGATTAATTTTAATCTTATTAGTCTACTTTTCTTCAGCTACGCATTTAATTCATCACACGAAGATTCCTCATATATAATTTTAAAATGCGTTAAAATCTGTAACAGTCAGTTCTTGCTAACCCCACACCCATTTCAGGAACAATGACCTGTGACCTCTCGTTTTCTCAGCCTGGGCTGTTCTCCTGATTAAGTTCCGTTATATTAACAGTCACGCTGTGACTAAAGAGGTGCACTAGTAAGCACAGCGTTGGTTTTTGATAGCTTCTGGATATTGATACAATGGAAGTTTCTACTCAAGTAGTTTCCTGTTCTCGTGATAGGCAGTGCCTGTATTCAGACATCAGCAAGAAATTAACAAAACAGGGCACGATACAATTGCAGCTTGACCTCATTGTTCTTTTTTTGCAGCTATAATGTCTTTTCGCCCTCAAAACTTTCCCGTACCTGTGCAGACCTGTGGTGTATAGACCTTTGTACTGCCGTGCTAATTTTATTGTCTTCATGTTATTTTACTTCTGAAGTTTCAGTAAGTGATTTCCCAAATTAGTGAAGCATTACGTACTTACTTACTCATGGAGCTGAGCCCTTCTGGAGGAGCCGCCTATTCTGCAGCTACTCAAGAATTTCTCAGCATTTTATGAAATTCGTTCATAATTATGTTCACATGAACCCGCCATAGATCCTATCCAGAGCTGGTTCAATTTATACTACACCTTCACACACTATTTATAAAATACATTTTAATATTATTCTCGTAATGCCCCTGGGGATCCGTTGCGCTGACCAAGCAACACACTCTATCCGCTAAAGGTGGCAGTAACTTCACCGACAAACTGCGGTCGCTCGGCCGATATAGTTCGTTTGCAGACTAAAGCCATGGAGTTAAAATTTTCTTAATGCAAATTTATTTGGAGAGAGGTCGAAACTTTGTTGAAAGGAATCCCTTAGAAGATCAAATAACAGATGGGTGATACTAGCGTTTACGTCGGAATGGGTTGTTTCATTAAGTATATAATTGCTTTTGTATTTGGATCAGTATGAGGGTCGTGATTTTGTGATGATAGTGTTCATATTCAGTAATGCCAGAGAAGCAGTTGTACAGCAACAGGGCAATGACATTCATTTAGTAATCCTTCTGTTTCCTTGCAAGCTGCCAACGCATTACGACGGCAGTTGACTTGTTCTTGACCTCAGCGTACGCCCGTAGTGTGTAGGACTCAGCACTGCTGAAGTGCGTAGGTCTGGACACTTGTTCGCGCACGCTGAATGCGTTTCTACCTTCCGTGGGCAGCGCGGTATTCCTGCGACTGCCGACATCCGGTCCCACATAAAGGATGTACAAATGGCAATTGCTGATGCTTAACTGCAGATTAACGGGAACAGTGACTAGGCTACGGATTAGATGAGCGACGAACTGGTGTTCGATTCCTGTAAGGGGCAAAAGGATTTTTTCTTGTCCATAGCGTCAAGATTGGCTCTTGGCCCCAATCAGCGTCCTGTAAAATATGTACCTGGGTCTGTTTTCTCGAGGTTAAAGATGGAGGAGCGTGAAGCTGACCATATCTAGTACTGAGGTTAAGAATGGTGAATATTTCTTCAAGCAGTAGTGTCAAATTAGGTACGAAGAGTCTCAGATATAAACCGGCTTCGCCCACTCGAACACTGGGGTCGTGGGTTCGAATCCCACTACAGACACGGATGTCTGTGTGCGTTTATTCTGTTTGTGTTGTCCTGTGTTGGTAGCGGCTTTGCGACGGGTTGATCCCCGGTCCAAGGAGTCCTATTGACTGTGTGTAGGATTAAGAAACCGAAATAGGGGTCAAGGTCCAAAGGGCTGTAAAGCCATAGAGGGATCGAATGATAACGCTACTGCTCATTAATACCGTTCTAATTACTTGATTACGTTATTAACACATTAGCTAGTGCACTATTATATGTGTTTAAGAATATGTAGTACTTTTTATAATAATGTTATTCCATATATTTAATATGAGACAGCTTAGCCGTTACATTTGTACAACTTGTATTAACATTGGAATGGCAAACAATTCAATGTTTATATGACCTTATGCGTTTCTTATAAATTATAATTATTCTAATATCCACAGCAGCTGTAAAGCAAGTTTCTTTGCAGCAGAGCCTCTGCAAATGGCCCCGAAGGGCCAAAACCTGAAAGGCCCTACGAACATTGAATTGTTTGTTCTAAACTTGTTTACAATGGAGAGTTTATCATTTCGAAGACAATTTCATTCCACTTTTAAATAATGATTACAAAACTACAGTTTCCAAGTTCGCGATTGCATAATATCCATTCAAGAAAGTCAACCTATTTTTAACACTGGGCATATGGAAAAAGACGTATTCGATTTATGAGTTCGAGAATCGAGATACAGCTGTAATAAGTCGATGGTATCAATTTGTATCCTCACTTTGGCGAACATTTTTTCACGCAATTATAATTTAACAACAATATATTTACCCTAGATCATGTGTGACTCAAATTTGGGTCAACTGTGAGTCATATTACACCAGAGGTGTACAACTGGTTCATTGCAACACCCAGAGTACAGCCCTGACCTGAACAGCCTGTGTTTGGCTCTAACTAGCTGGATCGTGTGGGATGGGCAATCAGGCTCAGTGGAATAGTTCTATCGGACACTGATCCCTTGAACGATCAGAAAAAGAAAACAACATAAACGTTCATTAACATGTCAGAACCCACTAGCAGTTATAATAGTTAAAACTTTCCTGAAAAGTTAACAGCCTTACAGAAGCCTCTGAAAGGGCCATAAGACGATAAAGTAAAATAAAATTAAAGAAGTTATTTCGTAACTAAAGAGTCCGTTCCGTATTTCTCAACGCTGGAGTCTTGCGCAAAATATCGACCATACAAATATTTTAGGACACGTACAAATATTAATTAAGCGGCTGGGTCGTGAAACTGACCGCTCACCTCCAACTAGTGCCGAGGTCAAGAATACGTGAATCTATACATCCACTCCCCCGCGTCTTCATGTCATAATGCTTTAATTAGTTACGCATAGGGGCTACTTTACCTTTATCTTTTTTTTCCCTTGGCACTACAGCCCCAGTGGCCCTAGGCCTACCTCCATGAACGTCTCCGTTCACTTCGGTTTTTCTAGATCTTACACATTCGGTAGGACTCCTTGGGCGGGTGATCAGCTCGTCGCAAGGCCTCTACTTGTACACAAACACAGAAAAACGCACACACACAAACTAAACATCCCTGCCCTGAGTACGATTCGAACCCACGATCCCGTTTTCCAAGCGAGCGAAGACCGCTCGGCTACCGTGACCGGCACCTTTATATATTACAAATATTAATCTGTAATTGCTCGCACAATATAATACTGGGTGTTCCTAAGAGAATGGTAGGATTTCAGATACGTATATATTTCGTATTTCTTGCCGTGTACAATCATAACATGCGTCAATCAGAAGCTTAACTGTCCAAATTTTATGTGCATCCGTCAATGTCCCTCTGTGTGCGCACGTTTCGTTACCCGGCACACATCAATGCGATAGTCCAATTCCTGTCACACCCGCTGCAGCATTTCAGGTGTGACGGTCTCCACAGCACGATTGATTGTTTTGGAGATCCTGGAGTGATTTTGGCAATGGGGGTACATAAACCATGTCCTTCACATAACCCTACAAGAAGAAATCACATGGAGTTATGCCCGGGGACCGGGGTGGCCACTGAAGAAAAGGGGAATCTTCACCTGCAGCGCGTCCAATCAATCGTTTGCCTGACTGTCGAAAATGGAACTAGGAAAGAGTGTGATATAAAAAATGAAAATTTGAGCCATGTTATGAACCCGTATACGTTTTGCTTTTCATCAGCAAAAACTGACGGAGATATACGGCAATGAAATCCCACCATTCTTTTAGGAACACCCTGTATAGTATCGTATCTTTTTCTGTGTTATACGCTAAACAGTCAAAAAATGCAACAGAGACAGAGAAATTGTTAATGCGAATATTTTCACTGTGTACATTTTATTGCTTTAGTTGGTAAATAATATAAATCAAATTACAAGAACTTGAAACTCCCGTCATACTCACGTATTACGTTTTCATTCGATTCTCTCTATCGGAAACATGGCCAGATGGCAACAGTTGGTAGCACTGAAAACAGAAAAAAAGGGTTAATAATTTCGAAGGAAGAATGGAACGTTGCGTTGTTGGCTTTCCTGCCAGGTATTCGACAGGTCCCAGGTTGCACATGATGATGATGGCCGTTTTTTTAGAGCAGGTGGTACATATAGCAATCATTGTTGCGTTGACGGTAAAAATTATATATGTTCATTGCTTTAAAGGGCTGAATGAAGATACACTACAATCTGTTTAAAGCTCACGGAATGGCTGATGTTTTCACACCGCCATTCAAAGAAGCACAGCTAAACAAGAAATGTTCAAACATGTTGAACTTAGGCCGCGCCACAGCTCAAGCGGTTAGTCGCTGGCTTCCCACCGTGGCGGCCCGGGTTCGATCCCGGGTCTGGTCAAGTGGGATTTGTGGTGGACAAAGTGGCGCTTTCTCCGAGTACTTCGGTTTCCCCTGCCAATCTTCATTCCACCAATTGCTCCACAATCACCCTCACCTATCATCTGAGGCTGGTACAATAGGCCAGAAATGGCCGCAGTACAAGCAACTTAGTCCCACCCAACTAGCATTAAAAAAAATGTTGACCTTCATTGCCAGGTGGATGAGTTGAATTGAGGGAGGCAGAATTAAACTAAATTAAATTAAATTTCTTTCTACAGTCGATCGTTTAAGACACAGACATTTCAGTTCTTAGTGAAATGTGAAAGTTACACGAGCCATGAAGGTACGAACTGGTGCGGGTGAAGATCCTAGCACCGAACGTCACGTCTAAGCCTGCTTAACTGCCAAAAGTCCGTGTAAGGCACACAAAATTAGGACAGCTATATACAGCGCGATCTTCATACAGCGCAAGCGCGAAGAGAACTCAGAACTGGTCCGACTTGACGCGTGAAGCAACCGACTGCAGCATGGCGTCCGCATATGCAAAGTGCACTTGAGCTAAATGAAGAACAAAAACTTCCATGTTCTTAAGACCAGCCTTCTTATAGCTTTCCTTTAGCAGCTCAAACAGGGTAGTGTGCCCCAAATTAGGGTGGCGGGAAAACTCCGACCTCTCTTCCAACCGGCCCATAGCCAGTCGCTATACCGACTGCGCTATCCCGGCTCCCACTTGATTACACGAGTACTTATGAAAATACCTGAAATTATATTAATGGTATTAAATATTGAATTATGGCCGCGCCATAGCTCAAGCGGTTAGTCGCTGGCTTCCCATCGCGGCGGCCCGGGTTCTCTCCCGGATCTGGTCAAGTGGGACTTGTGGTGGACAAAGTGGCGCTGGGGAAGGTTTTCTCCGAGTACTTCGGTTTCCCTTGCCAATCTTCATTCCACCAATTTCTCCACAATCACCCTCACCTATCATCTGGGGCTGGTAAAATAGGCCAGAAGTGGCCGCAGTACAAGGGACTTAGTCCCACCCTACTAGCAATAAAAAAATATTGAATTGATTATTTCTTAATAGCATGTTGAACAGAATCTCTTTTTCTGATCTCATCATTGGAGTCGCCTTATATCCGGGCATATACGGTTCACCAAAGGCCCGGACTGACCGTTCCCACCAGAAACCAGCTCCGCTGATAACATGTGACATGCTTGTGTCTGTGCAGAATGAGGGCCCCAGTAGCTGTAAGACTGCAGCTGGTGCTGGCTGTGGTGTCGCTCTGTGGGGCAGCAGTGCCGGACCCTCCCACAGGAGTCGTCGGGGCGCGGAAGTACGCCACGAACCTTCACGACTGCAATGGTGCAGTGGCGTTCTCCAGTGCAGGCGCGATTGCCCCTACCAAGGAAGACAACGGGAAGCTGGGTTTTCGCAAAGCGCTCATTGACAAAGGGATAGGTTGGAGTCGTGAATCTGGGGAGTTCACTTGTTTCTGTCCTGGACTGTACCAGTTCGCTTTCGCTGGAAGCGGGAAGACAGCAGTGACAAGGTTGGCAGTCATTTATGATATTATTACTATTATCATAATTAACAAGGCCGGATTTTCAGTTCTGGGGGCCCCGGGACAAAAAAAAATGTGGAGGCCCCTATAAGTAACAGGAAATTTAGTTCATGGCAACTTCCTTCCCCTCATATTCTTATTCTTTATAATAACTAAAAAGAGAAAATAAATCCTGGTGAACTTAGAGAAGCAGATGTCTAAAAAAAATCTATGGATTCTATTTTTGTTTTGTTGGGGCCCCGGACCATCCTCCCTGTCGCTTCTCCTTAAACCCGCATTGCTGCATTGTCATTAGCGGCAGCTCTGCCCTGCCGTCTTTACACGCAGTAGCAGTGTTAAGGCTTCAAGCGTCTTCTTTGGTTCACAATACATAAATCTGTTAGACCTTACTCGCTCCATAACGTTAAGATTTTCCTCCTTGAATTGTTTATATGTGCGCCTGTGTTGTCACCGCGGTGGGTAAAGCTCTCGACATATTTGCATTCGGAGCGATTCCTCTTAATCCCATTTTATAACCCTCTATCTAAAATTGTTAATAATATTTAAAGCTCTTATTTATAACCCTAATTTCTTACGTTGGATACTTCTTAGTTATTACGTTTTTTGGTGTATTTTTCATCTCTGTTCTTGTTTTTTTTCACTTCTGCTGTATTAATGTATTTTTTTTTCTCCAGTGTTTGCCTGTAATTTGCCTCTTCGCTGTTTCCAACCGCTTCGGTACCTGGACTTAATTATTATCATTATTTTCACATTATGCGTTATAAATGCATATATTTTACTTCCTCGATTCTAAACTATTGTTTGGTTTCGTTATTCCTTTTCTTATTATTACTATTATCATCACACCCTAAATTATAATTCTGGTTTCTGTTATTATTTGTTTCTCTCCTCTCGCGCCCACTGTGGAGCACTGGGCTGACTTCTTGGTTTCGTGATCATTTTACAGACGGTGGGACTCCTTGGACGAGTGATCAGCTCGTCACAAGGCCTCTACTTAAACGCGGTACAACACAAACACAGAATAAACACACACACACATACCGAACATCCATGCCTTGTGTGGGATTCGAACCCATGATTCCGGCTTCCGAGAGAGCGAAGACAGTGCATGCCTTTTTTTATTATTATTATTGGTAGTGGGGTCCGACTAAGTCCCTTGTACTGCGGCCACTTCTGGCCTATTGTACCAGCCCCAGATGATAGGTGAGGGTGATTGTGGAGCAATTGGTGGAATGAAGATTGGCAGGGGAAACCGAAGTACTCGGAGGGAACCTGCCCTAGCGCCACTTTGTCCACCATAAATCCCACTTCACCAGACCCGGAAATGAACCCGGGCCGCTGCGGTGGGAAGCCAGCGACCAACCGCTTGAGCTATGGCGCGGCCTAGAGCATGCTCGGCTACCGTGACAGGCATCATCATTACTCGGATGTGATGAAATTCCTTGTTTTGTACTTCGTGTTTGTTTTTCCTTTCACTCGTGTTTACTTTGTAATTGACCCTTGGGCTGTTGAGTTAGCATGGAAATCAGCAAGAATGTATTATTAATATTATTATTATTATTGCCTGGTCACGGTAGCCGAGCGGTCTAAGGCATGTACTGTGTTCGTTAGCTTGGAAACCGGGATCGTGGGTTCGAATCCTACTCAGGGCATGGATGTTTAGTTTGTATGTGTGCGTTTTTCNTATTATTATTATTATTATTATTATTGTAGTAATAGTAGTAGCAGTAGTAGTAATATGGGCTGGATAACCGTGAAATCGGGATTCCATTCCCGGCGGGAACACATGTTTTCTTATCCATAGCGTTCAGACCGGCTTTGAGGTCCAGTCAGCCTCAAATTGAATGAGCACCTCGGTTCTCACCTCGGGGGTAACGCTACCGGCGTGTAATAATGACCAGTCACGTCTACATACTGCCAAGTTTGAGAATGCGTGGAGCTATACCTCCACTCCCCCATGATTCTGCATGGTGTGATACTTAATTTTTGCTTAAGTGAACACGTAAAGATAAAGGCAAAATTGACCCTGTGATTAACCCAGCAAGCACTACGCCATGAAGGCGTATGGGGGAGTGGATATATAGATCCACATTTTCTTGACCTCGGCACTAGTTGGAGTTGAGTAGTCAGCTTTACCCCCGGTATCCAGTGTATAAGAGGCTGGGTGAATCCCAGAGCCGGTCTGTGCAACATGGATAAATGAGAATTTTTGACCCTACCAGGACTCGAACTCCGCCTTCTCGGTCGCCCAACCCGTAGCCAGTCACTATACCGACTGAGCTATCCCGACTAAATGAGCACGTAAAAAGTAGGAGTATCTTATTTCCTAGAGATAAGTGGCTTATTCTCAGGCATCAAACCTGGTTATAATTACTTCTTTTAACAAAATTATCTCACTTGATACAAAAGAAAAAGCGTATCTATTCCAGGCCACATATAATTATGTCATTTGTAGATTAATAAACCACACAAGTTTTCTCAAAATTTAAATTTCGTTTAAAAGGGAGTAGGATAATTTCAGAAGAGTTATTCTTTGCAATACAGCCTTTGTGGTCTAGTGGTCAGAGTTCCTGGCTACAGATTCAGAGGTCCCGGGTTCGATTCCCAGCGCTACTAAAAAGTAGTGGAATTGGAACGGGGCCCATTCAGCCTCGTGAGGATAATGGAGATCTTTCAAGGAAATAGAGGCTCTTGTCTAGAAAACAGAGATTGTCGGCCGTGGGGATTGGTTGCGCTGACCACGCGACATCCGCTATCCGCAAAAGTTGGCACTAACTTTTCCGACAGGCGGCGGTCGCTCGGTCGGTATAGTTCGCTTGCGGACTACAAACCACGGAGTTTGTTTGTTATTCTTTACAAGACGAATTCGACAGATTCTCAAGCTACACTGAGTAAGACAAAATAGTCCGCATTTACAGATAGCCTCATGATAGTTCTCTTCTTCCAACAAACTTTCTCCATACATGCAATCAGTATTGCCGGCACCTCAGTGAGATACTAAAATTAAATCAGCTTGGGAGACCGAACCATATTTATACTTCTTAAACGGCATTAAAGTAACTGGAACAAAACAAGACTGTCCAATTCCGGAATCTCCGTTTGTTTGTCCACAGATTTGTCCTGAAGAAGAAAGAGTCGAACAGCAAAGCTTGGACACCAGTCGTGTCGACAGGTGCTGGAGGAGGAGCTAATGTTGTTCTTTTGAACATGGAGATTGGAGATCAGGCGGCGATCTGGCTTGAAGACGGAGACCTGAGTCCAGAGGGCGATACAGCACCAGTATCCACCTTCAGCGGCGTTCGCATAGCTAAGAAACAATAAGCCATCCCATCCCTGTCTCATGCATACGTAATTCCTTTGCAAGAAATGTCTGAAATCACAGACACAAGAGAGCACAGATATCTTCACATCGTCTGCATGTCGCCCCTTCGAGATCAAAAGACTAAAATGTCAAGTTTCGACTAAATATTTCGGAAGATTCTTAACAGAGAATTTACAGCTCATTTTTTGTTTGTTTAGACTGAGTTTACGAAGCTCCGAAGTAAAGGAATTCGAGATATATCGACACAACAGCTTTGCTAACCTGCTTTTCCTCAATCTGTGATAAAAGAAAATGGCGTATCAAGAAACAAAATCGTCATTCATTCATCGTTACTACGTTTTCTTTATCATCTAGTCTTATATTTTTGCATTGTGCCAAAATAATGCAAAAAAAAATTTAAACAGTGATTTTAAACCAAGGGAACATGGAACAAGTGATTACAACTTCATCTGAATTAACTTCTTCACACTTCTTACCTGTTTCTACACTACATTTCATATCACCAGTCTCCTCAGTGGAAGCCATTTTATCTGAACGTTTCATGTTTCCGTAACATTTGATTCCTTCTTCTGTATTGTGTGCTCTATTCCAGACTCTGGTAGCTGTTTGCTAGAGTGATCCATCGAGAATGAGTGGTGCACAGCCACAGTAATAACGGGTTTCATGTTTGTATATGTGGGTTCTCTGTAGTGCTTTAGAAGCCTGTGGACATATTTACGACCCCTGACTGGATATTATCCATGGGTAACGGATCTTCTTGCAGTCTATCGCATTTCCTCTGACGTACGAAGTATGAAAATCTTTTAATCTATCTCTGTATTTCATCACTTTTATGTTCCTTTTATTGTGCAAACTTGGAAATTCTGTAAAATAAAACATCTTTTTTTTCAGTGTTTAATTTCCAACACTAACTTTTTTTTTTTTTTGCTTTTATTTTCTTACAGTAGTCTCTGGCTGCACCTTTTCCTCAATCTATTTACTCCCTGTACGATTTTCTGTTGGGGATACCAAGCTATGTTTAAGTAGTAGTCTTAATAATTCCCACTTCAGTTGGTTCGCTTTAGCCTCAAGCTAAACTGTTGTACTATAAATGCATGATTCACAGACTATTCAGATATTGTACTGATGCAATAGCGATCCAGATGTTTTCGATCTAATTGTCACTTCAATCTTGAAGCTACTAACAACAGCTTAGCGCTGCATGGACACGAGGAGAGCCACTTCCTGCATCCCGAATTCTCTTGGATTTTCAAACGCAATTATTTTCTGTTTGAACCGCCACACATTTGTAGTTTTTTCTTCCCCCCCCCCCTTTACACACACACAAATTTCGAACTAGCACCGAATAAATATGGGTGCCAAAACTTTGGAACTAAAAATGTGGATGTAGATTCTAGAGGAACTGTCGTTTAGTGGGGGCAGGGACTTTGATCAACCAAATGCATTAATATACGGAAAAGTCATTACAGGGGATGTTAGAGCACATATTTGTATTAACGACTTGTGTAAACGGACTTCTAGGAAGGGGTTTCCTTAAAATAAATTGCACTGGTACCTAAATACGAAATTGCACGATGTTCCATCGTTATAGAAAGTAAGATTGCCCGTAAGTAAGTGTTTGAGGAAACGTGGTAATCCGTCTAGTGGCTATATTGTTGATATTTCAAATGAGAGAGCTTGAAGCAGTAAGGACGAATTTGGCCTCCCCAAAAAACAACAAAAATTCAAATATTATCATAAATTTGATTATTTTGCAGTAAAATATGATCTGTGTACGAGGTAATACAATTTAAGAGCTTATTTAGATAGCACGGGATTCGTAGCCACCTGACTTGTCTTTAAACCATGCCTGACTGGTAAGTTGACCCTGTCTCCAGTTCCTGTAAGCACATTTTCTACTGCACGCTTTGGTTCTCATTATACACGTATTGGTTATGGTGAAAGGAGGAGTGTTCTTTGTAATGAAATCTGCAGCCAAGAGCCACGAAAGTAGAACGCCATCACCAATAGGACGATACATATTATTCTAATATTATTGGTCACAATGTTGGCTAAAACATGATAATAGGAATTCTGTTTTCAGATCCAGAATTATATCAAATTATATATGATACCCAAAAATACATTTCAGAGAATCAGACATGTTAGCAGCTTTAACCTTATAGAGCCCTGAAATACTTGTATTAACGTCGCATCTACTCTGTTCATCAAGCAGAGTTTGAAGAAATCGCTAAGTAAGACTAATATCTTAATTTAATTAATTTTCTAGAGCCGGGATACCTCAATCAGTATAGCGACTGGCTACAGGCTGGACGACCAAGGAGTTGGGTTTCGAGTCCCGGTGGGGGCAAGAATTTTCAGTCCTCCATGTCGTCAAGATCGGCTCTGGGGCTTCCTATCCAATGGGTACGGGGAGCTTTTATCCCCGGCGTTAAAGCGGCCGCGGCGAGAGCTGACCACTCACAAACTAGCGCCGAGGTCAGGAAACGTGGGTCTATACATCCACTCCTCCATACAATTAGTTCAGCATAGGGGTAACTTTATCTTTACCTAATTAATTTCTAAGTCACTTCAACTATAGATTCTGAGGAATAAGAATAATTCTCTCTTGAAATTACGTAATGCTCAATACTGTAATGTCCTCCTAGCGTCTGATGGGATGAGTTCAAATTGTCATAGTCTTGTGGAATATTATATAAGTATTTGAGGTTCTAGTCCTCCTTAATCTACAAACATTGTATAAAATCAATCGTCGTTACTTCTAACGTATACAAAAAAAAAAACTCCGTGGCCTATAGTCCACAAGCGAACTATACCGTCCGAGCGACCCCGCTTGTCGGCGAAGTTAGTGCAAACTTTTGCGGATAGAGAGTGTCACGTGGTCAGCGCAGGGATTCCCAACGGCCGTTAATCTTAGTTTTCTAGACAGGTACTTTTACGTATTCAACACTTAATTATATCTGAAATCGAAAGCTACTGAATTCCTACAGAATGAGTCCTCCTTCCACTAACAACCAGAAAAATGTTCAGTACACGAGTTAATCTGCTTTTGTATAATTACATTTAGAAGAGTGCAAGTTACCTGCGCTAAATTCTAACATTTATCTTAATTGGGTTTCAAATATCAGGAAAGGGCCCTTCTTAAACAATTGTATGGTTACTCCTATAATACAGAAAATATCTGATGTTTACAAGGCGTCGAAATTATGAAACGCAATACACCAAGTCATTTTAAAGAACGTCTAAACATAAAACCATATGAATTTGGTGAATTATTAAACTGACAATCAGTGAAAGTTGTGTAGAAAGTTATATTTAAATCAAGTTTCAAGAGAGTAGATACATGAGATTCTGTGAATAAATTCTAACTGCTTATGAATTACGGGGCCAGGCGTAACATTCATGCACAAAATGAACCCTCGATACGTGACCTAAATGTTGATTCTTAAAATTGCTACTTCTAAATAAAGGCTACCATCTGAAGATAAGAAACAAATTTTCTGTTTCCAATAAACCATGTGTGAATAAGCAATTTTACAGCGGTGGATCAAATCAAACAGCAGAACAATATCATAGAGTGCGGAGTTATGAGAACTCATGAAGAATTTTATGGACGGTATTTATGTTCTGGTGCTGATGAAATGGTGACGTCCAAATTCTGACTTGCTATTAAGAAAGTGACTTTCATTCTTAAAAAAGAAAATGTAACTGAAACTGCCGCAGCACATTAAGCTCCCCCCCACCAAAAAAGAACTGAAACAGCCAGACCTCAACAGGGCGGACGCATAGCCTCAGCCGAAAAATCAACTGCTGGAAGACATCCCTGCAGCAAGTGTCCCGGAGCAAGTCAGGATGTGGAACGGGTTCCAGATTACTACAGTTCTGATGAGGTAAGACACAACAATCAGCAAATCTAATAATATATGCATGGGGCTTTGACTGGTGTCATGTTATGACACATCACATACATATTCGATAAAAGCTTGTGACACTATGCTTGTACTAAGTAATGCATTATAAGTACGGTAAAGCTATATATTTTGGCAGCGTCTTGAAATAACATGATAAGTACTGTAAAAAGGTTGTATTTTGTAAGAAAATTAACGGAATATTAAGCAATGCCTGTATCAAGTTAGGCTTCCAGCATTTTCCTCATCATAAGGCTAGAAAAACTGGCAACAGATGTTTGTTTTAAAGAGATGATGCAAAATACATTTCTTTCAAAAGGTCACGTTTCCCAGCCGTCAGTTGACTGCATGACCCATAGTGTAGACTTTACAATGAAAAACGGAATTCTCATTATTAAGAGGGAACATTGTAACTTCTTTGTAGCGAAAGTGGGACTGAATTTCTGGAAAAATTACTAGTGTGAAGAAGGGGTAATAGAAAAATAAAAAATAATGTTCATATAATTAAAAATAACAACAAACTAATGTGATATTGAGCCTGCTGTGTGGATGCCAGACGTTTCAAGTTGAATCAGATGCCTGTTGTGGTCAGTCAAGGGTTCGCTTCATCAATGCAGAAGCTTGATCATCGGAGTGAAATCCTGCCGTACAGTTGTCTTCTGGCGCACATTCGACTATATCTTCATGATGCCGCTTACAATAATTAAGCAAGTCGGCTTCCTTGATTTTAGACCTACATTCATCATTATCTGAGACCGCATCAGAGTTCCCGTATAAACAGCCAGAGGCCCCGGGTTCGATTCCAAACGCTACGAGATTTTTTGAGAAGTTGTGGGTCTGGAACGGAGTCCACTCAGCCTCGTGAGGATAACCGAGGAGCTATTTGAAGGAAATAGCGGCTCCGGTCTAGAAAACCGAGATTATCGGCCACGGGGATCCGTTGCGCTGACCACGTGACACCCTCTGTTATCCGCAAAAGTTGGCACTAACTTCGCTCGGTTGGTATACTTCACCTGTGGACTACATGCCAGGGAGTTTTTTATTCATCACTGTCTGTAGAGGCATGGGAGTTTTCTAAAATACTGGGTAAGCCAGTGATAGATGTAGTCAAAACTGTGTATTGCTATATTGCTATAGTGCAGCTGGAAGGAGTAGTTAAAGTGAAAAATCCAATGACCTCATCGGGAATCGAACCCCCAACCTTCCGGCTTGTAGAATAATGCCTAAACCAACTACATTGCCACGTGCCTCCCGCATATTTTGCAGTAGGTTTTGCTTAATTCTTTCCATCTGTGACAGGACTGTTTCTTTCCAGATAAACTCCAGGAAGCGCATTTTGAAACAAAATCATGTAAGCAGATAACTGTAGAGTCTGTGTATTCAAACAATATTCGTTAAACTCTTGCCTATCATTTCAATTTCCAAATTTCCAAAATAATTATTTAGGGGTAATTTTATATTAATATTTGTTATATTTTCGTGAAACTAAAGACATTTTCTGATAAAAATAAGTTCCCAATTAATCCAGATTCTCTTCAAGATATTTTTAGGATATTTTGAAAATTAGAAAATGTGTGTATTTACATAATGATCCAGACTGCCGTCGGCATAAGAATCAATAACATAAAAACAAGAATTAAATTCAGTCATTATTATCTCTTTTTCAATAAACGAATAAAAGTAATTTCTTTTATTTTATTTTTAAAAAGGTACAAACTGGAGAATTCAATGAACATCAGTGCCAAGTTCATGGTAGAAGATGAAAACAGTTGATGAAGATAAGTCTGTCACAGCAAACTGGTGAACACACATCATCACAACTAAAACAGAAGAGAACAGCAGAACTTCTAGAGAAGAATTGTAGCTTGTTAAACCTTGCAGTTTCCAAGCTGCAGGATGAAAGGAAGAGAATCAGAACTTAATAGAAATTGCATTATACTTGATAGCTTGTGCTCACAGCTTGTTAGATAAGTCATTTAT